CCCCGCCCGGCCCCCGCCCCCGCCGCGCCCCCGGGGCGCCCCCAGGGCACCCCGCCGGCCGCGCCGCCCGGCCCCGAGCCGGGACCCCGGGGGTGCGGGCAGCATCGCCCCCGCCCCGGGCTGCCCCCGCACACAGCTCGCCCCCGGGATCCCGCAGCCTGGGCTCTGCTCTGCCCCCGCAGCACCGCGCCCCGGGCCATCCCCCGCCCCAGGGACGCTGAACCCCGGCTCAGCTCCTCCTGGGAACCTGCACGCCGGGTGATTTCGCATCCCGGGCTCTCCTCCGCCCTGGGGACCCCGCATCCTGTACTGCCCCTCCTGGGAACTTGCACCCTGGAGACCTCTCGTGCTGGGTGGTCCTCTCCATCCCCAGATTCTCTCCTACCCCACGTCCGCTACACCCAGGGGAGGTGGCACACCGGGCTTCCTGCGCCCTCAGCTACCCTACGCCGAGCCCCCGTGCCCAAGGTTTCCTCTCCAAGGACACGGCACCGTAGGCTGTGCCCTACGCACTGACCCAGGTCAGTGGATACAGCCTTTTTGGGGGCCTCTCTGCTGCCCGTCTGCCCCTCCATCCCCACCACTCCAAGCCCCCTTCAGAGCCCTGCCAGGCTGTGTCCGCAAGCCCCTTTTCCGGGAGGTTTTGCCTCTTTGTGAACCCACACCTGTTTTTGCACTGACCCGCGCAGGGCTCTGCAGGGACTCCCGGCCAGATCTTAACGCTCCTGCCAGGACAGGCAGCGATTCTGCCCCCAGCACTGCCCCCAGCCCGGACCAGCACCGCGCTGGAGAGGTCTCTATGCCAGAGCAGCAATGGAGTACGCACAGGGCCTGATTCCTGCAGCTTGGGGATGTCGCTCGAGTGACTCGTCCCAAGACAAGCCCTTCAGAACAGCCCGTGGATGACCCCAAAGGGACATGGGACAGGGTGCCGCGGGCCCTGGCTGTGCCGCCCGCTCCCCCCACGCCCTCCTTGCACCAGCATTTCCGAGCGAGGCCAGTCCCGGAGCCGCCCTAAGAGGCTGTGAGAGTTTGGGAGCAGCTGTGGAGCAGCTGCCGGGGCCAGCGCGGGGGCTGGGGCCGGGGCAGGCACCCCACAAGCGGCTCAGATGGCTTTGGGGGGGGATGTGCTGGGACCCTACTCAGGGACTGTGGTGGGAGCTCTGAGCCTGCCGCCGCCAGGCTTTGTTCTCGGAGCAGCGAGGCTGCAGCCCCTCCCAAGGCTCCACCTCCGCAGACCACCCGAGACCCTCCTTCCGCTGCCTGAGCACAAGCTCCTCACATGGTGCGCAGAGCTGGTGGGCAAGAAATGCCCTTGGCAAAGCGCAGAGGCACCTTGGGTGGTAGAGGCGTCATCAGGAGGCCCCAGAGGCAACAGGGAACGATCCGAGCTAAGCTCCCCACGAGCGCAGAGCTTGCAGTGGCACAAGGGGATGCTTGGGAGATGCCGGGGAGAGGCAGGTCGGCTGTAGCACCCTGGCTCTGCCCTGGCCTTGCTCCACAGCTGGGCACCCCGGGGCAGAACCTGTTCCCACACCATGCTACCCCAACGGGCTCCGTCCCGCACGACTGCCTGCCCCTGCCCCTTCCCTGCCCTCCACTCACGAGTCGCTGTCCAGCCACGCCAGGGTTGGCTCAGGGGCTGCCCACGTGAGGCCACAGCCACCTCACCTTCTCCTGTGCTTCCTCTGACCTTGGCTGCACAGCTGGGACTCACACAAAGGCACTCAGCCCTGCTCCTGCTGGCCCTGCCAGGCAGGCACCAGCTGTTTCTGTCCCTTGTTGCACCCGTGTCCTGCTGCATCTCAGTGTGACCATCCCATTGCTCTCATGTGCCCGAGCCCCAGCCTGTCCTTATCCCTCGACTTTCCTCGCCCCATCTTTGATGTGCTTTTGCACTCCTGGAACTGGCAGTGAGAAGATGTGGCACCGCAGCCCAGATCCGGGTGATGCCAGGAGGCATTTGGCTTCCCACAGCCAGCTCCTGCCCCCGGCAGAACCTTCCAGTAGATGAGCAAGACAATTTTCCTTACAATTGCTCATCATGGCAAGAGCTGCAATTATTAATGACCGCTCCAGCTGTCAGAGTGGAGAGGGAGGAGAACATCCACTTCCCCCCACCCGCTGCCCTCGAGCCCGTTCCAGCCGGAGATGCCGGCGTGGCCTCACACCCGTCCTTCGGGACGGCAGCTGCATCGCGTGAGCGAACGCTTGGCTGCTCCACGCTGGAGAACGCCCAGAGCTGCTGCACGTGGCCCATGTGTGCCCCGTGACTCCTCATCCCCTCTACAGGACTCAAGGCCAGGGCACGGGGACCAGAGGACACTGCTAGACCGCTAAGGTCTGGCCCCTTCCCCATCTCTCCTTGCTGCATTTTGCCCCCCAGATTAATTACTGCCTCCATTAGCGGTCCTGCCTGCTACAAGAGGGATGACCCAGTCGACACAAGGGGTCAAGCCTGGGCTGACGTGGGCAGAGGAGGAGAAATCTGAGGTGAAGATTTTCCCTGGAAAGCTGGAAAGAGCTGAGTCAGGCCCCAGAGGGAGCGGGATGAGGGCACAGCATGACCTTCCCAGCCGGCCGCACCTCACTCGGCAAAACCACTGGCCTGGAGACAGCCGGCACTTGCAGAGACGTGTTTATTAAAGGCACTAAAAGCACCGTGGCTACATCAGCGCAGCCTGACCGGAGGGTGTGGGTTGGGGGGGAGGCATTGATGGCCCCAGGATGGCAATGGCAGAGAGCTCTTTGGTAGGAAGCTGTGCCCAAGCCTTGCAGGAGCAGCCGTCTGGCTGGGCTGGCCATCAGCACATGCTGCCAGCCCACAGCTGGGCCACGCCGGGCTGGGGGTGCGGCGAGCCCCAGGGGAGCAGAGGGCCAGCAGGGTGGGGGGCACGAGGCCCAGATGCCTCTGGAATGCAAGGGGCAGGAAGGCACCGGGGCAGGAAGGCACCAGGGCAGTTTGAGGGGTGGCTGGAGTGTTGTCATGAGCAGGGCCCCAGCAGGGGAGCAGGGCCAAGTCTCCAGCCCCAAGCACACAGCAGGGAAGGTGGTGGAGAGTGAGACAGGAACTGGTCCTTACTCACTCAAGGATGTGTAAGGAGTATCCCTGCCCCTGCACTGAGCTGCCAGGCAGAAAGAGAGCAGCCCAGCTGTGGCAGACCCCTCCAACTCCAGCCTCAGCATGGTTATGCCCACCATGCAGCATGGCTCAGGGGCAGGAGGATCCATGCAGAATCCCCTTCCCCAGGCTCCTAGGGCCAGTTGAGAAGCATGTAAGAAGCCACCCAGCGATAAGGAGCGCTGGACCCAGCACTGTATCTGGCTGGAGTTGAGCCAGAAGCTGCCAGGAAAGAGGCAGGAGCAAGGAGAAGGGCCAAGGGCCCAGCCTGGCTCCCTGGGGCCAGCAGGGCAAGGGGAGAGGAGCATGCAGGGCCAGGGGCATGTGTGGGCACAGCTGAATTCCCACTCCTCACACGTGGGAGAAAGCATGGCTCTTGCACAGTGGCTTGTCCTTCTTGGAGTAGAATGTCTTCCCTTCCAGGTTGGTCTGGCAGATCTGGGGAGGAGAGTGAAGGTGGTCAGGTTGGGGGCCTGAGTCAGCCTCTGGATCCCCCACAGCTCAGCACTGCTGTCACACAGGGACCAGGGACCACTGCACATGGCCCTAGGGCACTGCCAGGGACCAGAAGGCTCAGAGCAGAGTCCCAAGCCCCCAGAATGGAGGCAAGTAGGAAAAATCTTGTGGCAGCAGGTCTGCTGTGCTGCTGGCGTGCCCCACCCAGAGCAGGACAGTTGGGGAGAGGCACAGGCTCTGAACAGTCAGGGAGGGAGGCACACAGCTCACCGCACAGACAAAGCAAGTGTCATGCCAGCTGAACCCCAGCGCCTCCAGGAACCGGTCCCCAGCATCGATCTTGAAGTCACAGCCACGGCACTTGGTGCCAAACATCTTCTCATAGTCTGTGAGGAAAGGCAGAGCCCAGGTCAGCACTTCCAGGCACTACAGCTACTCATGTCAGCAGAGCAGGGCTGCAGCTCAGCCGGGATCCCACAGGCACAGCCTGGGGACAACTCTGCCAGCCCCCATCCAGGTGAGGTAATGCCCAGACAGCTGGGAGAGGCGCAGGGTGGCCCGGCCACCACAGGGCTCCAGCAGGAGGAGGAGAACCTCATCTCCCAGGATGCAGCACTTGCTTTGATGTACATCCTCCCTCATTGCCATGGCAACATAGGAGCGATGGCACTACCCTGCAGCTAGGGAGAGCCAGGATGGAGGGCTCAGGGCTGTGGGATTGGGGTCTCTGTGCTTCCCACTGCCCAGGGAGAGCCCTTCAGAGCAGACTCTGCCCCCAGCCCTGTGCGCAGCTGCTGAGTCCCAGTGGTGCCCCAGGGCCACATGAGGTGACATGTAGGGTCCCTGGGTCCTACCTCTCTCACAGTAGGGCTGTCCCTCCTCCATGTAGAAGGCTCGGTTGCGGATGGGAGTTTTGCAGGCGTTGCAGGTGAAGCACTGCACGTGCCAGGTCATCTTCAGTGCGTGCATCACCTCCTGGAGAGGAGCCACTGTCAGCCAAGGGCAGGGGCACCAAGGGTGGGAAGGGACAAGGAATCCCGAGATGGGACCGTGGTGGGAAGGGACAGAGCCAGGCACTCACAGCAGAGGGCAAGGACAGGAGATGGAGGGCAGGCTGAGGGACACTCACCCCAGTGATCTTCTTCTTGCACTTAGCGCAGCTGGGTGCGTAGCGCGTGTCGTAGCACTTGGGGCAGAAGATGGAGCCTTTCTCCTCAAAGAAGCCACCCTCATCCAGCACCTTCCTGCACTGGCAGCAGGTGAACTCCTCGGGGTGGTAATAATGTCCCAGCGCCACGAGGTACCGTCCCCTGTGGCAGGACAGAGCCACGTCAGCCACGCCGGGGCCTGGGATGCTGGCGTGGCGGTGGTGGCAGCCAGGGCTCACCTGATGACCTTGTTGCACTTGTAGCAGAGCGGGGTGCGGCCGGGCCCCTCGGGGGCTTGCTGGGCCGCCTGCACGATGGAGCTGCGGTTCTGCATGGGGGTTGGTGTGGCTGGCTGGCTGTGCTTGCTCACCACCGTGCTCGTCTTGTCCGGGGCGTAGCGCTCGGCAAACGAGGGGTCCACAGCCCAGGGTGGGCGGCTGGTGGGGCTGGGGGTGGCACTGGGGGTCCTGGGGGCTGCACATACACACAAGACTTAAGGACAGTGCTCCTGATCTCTCGGCAGCCCCTCCCCAAAAAGCCCAGAGGTGTTTTGCTCACCCAGTCCTGGTTCAGTTTTCATTGTTGCTCCTGGGGAAGGGTCCGGCACGGAGACCTGGCTACAGAACAAGCAGTTAATCCAGCCTGCCCTGCTTGCCCCCACTGCCCGGGGGTGCAGGCAGGGCTCCCCACCCCAACAAGCAGGAGGGAGCTGGCCAAGCCCTCATACCCAGCAGTAGCTGGTTTAGTGATGAGGTACTGAGCCAAGGGCCTTCAGTCCTGCCAAGACACAGCACCCCCAGGGTCTCTGGTACCTACTGGGGTGGTCTGGGGAGTGGCAGGAGGGAGGGTTCTGGGCTTCTCCACACTGACCAGGCACCCCAGGGACCACACAGACTTTGGCTGCCTACTAATATGTGATGATCACCCCCAGTCTCATTGGGGTGCAGGGGCATGTGGACATGACCTGATGCAGGGAGCCCCAGGGTCCAGCTCAGCAGCGCTGGGAACAGGCAGGGCAAGCCAGGGCTAGAGAGGCACAGCCCACTGAAAGAGGGGGGACAGGGAAACAGGGAGAGCCAGTGGCTCTGTGCCTCTCCAAGACAAACTCAAAAAGGAGATGACAACAAACCAAACTTTTATTTGTATCAGAGTAAACTGGGTAAAGCTCATACCCAAGGGCCATGGCACCAGGGCAGGAGATGTCACAGTGAGGTAAGGGCAAAAAATGGGGTGCTGTCCAGAACCCCACAGAACAAGAAACAACCCTGACAAGCTGGTGGCATCCATGAGCTCAGCCCTGCAGCCCCACACCAGGCTTGCAGGACACTGTGCCCCAGGTCCAGTTGCTGCCCAAACATCACAACAACCCAGTGAGTTTTGGCCAGTGCCATCAGCCACTCCCAACCCACTGTTTCTGGGACACCACGGCGCAGCTCAGCATTCCCAGCTGAGGGGCAGCAATGCCCAAGAAGTTCCTCCCAGGACATGCAGCCCCTCAGCTCCTGCTGCCACACACTCCCCTTACCTGGGCTTCCTAACAAACACATCATCATGATCCTCCACTGAGTGCAGCAGGAAAGAAAGGAGGAAACAAGTCAGTCCTCACAGACCGAGGCCCGGGCACAAGAAGAGGGAAAAGGGAAAAGAGGAAATCCAACCTCTCCTCCCACCAACCCCTGCCCCAAAACAAAGCCCTGCCCGGCCACAGGGCAGACCAAGGCCCCAGACCGGTGTCACCACCACGAGACCACGCACAGCCCCAGGCAGCTCCCACTGACTCAGCCACCCCACAGGGACCACATGGGACCAAAACCAACACTCCAGTGCCACTCCAGACTCTGCAGGACCCTGGCAGCCCAGGGAGAGTCCAGCACCCCCAGTCAGTGCCAGGCCCTGAGGGAACTCACTGCTGCTGTCGGTGCCCGTCAGCTGGGCCAGTTTGCGGAAGGTGCGGGACTGCGAGGTCCCGGTGCGGGGCTGCCAGTCCTCAGCATCCTCTATCAGTCGCAGCTTCCCAGGGTTGCACCCAGGGGTGCTGGGGGGCTCCAGGGGCTGTGGGGACTGTCTGTGAGTGACAGAGGGCAGGAGTTCAGCCAGCACAAAGCACAGACCCTGCTCTAGAACTGGGGAGCACTCCAAAAGGTGCCCTGGCACATGGCAACACCTCTGCCAGACACTGGCACTCACCGCTGCTCCACTGTGCCCCAGCTGGACACATGGGAATCCCTGTGGCATCAGAAAAAATGGTGGCACAGCAGTCAGGGGCTGTTCCATGGCTCAGCCCATGGTTCCTGTATGCACTCACAACCTCAGAGATACAAGAACCTCATGGAAATGCCAACAGCATTCACTCCTGACCAGCCTTGCAGTGATTCCATCATCCCATATATCGTGCCCCAGGTACAGTGCCTGCCCTGTGACTCCAAAAATGCCCAGCAAAGTGTGGTGTCACCATCCACCCCTACACACTGTGTCCAGCACACTGTGCTGCACATTGCCCTCCCCAGCTTGGTGTCAGCAGTGCCCAGCAAGTCTTGCCTGCACACCCATTTGGGGGCAAACTGTCTGCCCGGTGGGTGTCCAGGCAGGAACCTCCCAAGGTGAAGGTCAAAGCAGTGGCTGAGCTCTGGCAGTGCCTGTTGTGGGGTGAGCACAGGGTGGGCTCTGCAGCTCCACCACCAGCTCAGCTCTGGGAGAGGGAAAGGACACAGAGGGAGAGAAGAACCCACAACAGGGCAAAGAGTTTGCTCAGAGTCATGAGAAGTAGTGATGCTGACGGGAAATGAGCCAGCAGCTCTCACCCAGCTCTGCCACACCAGGCTCACAGGACAGTGGGCCCCAGGTGGAGGTGCTACCCAGCACCTCCCAACATCCCACAGCCAGCTTTTCCCAGTGCCATCAGCCTCCTCCACTCCTTGTATGCCCAAAAGGCTAAGGTGCAGCTCAGCATCCCCAGCTCAGAGCCAGCAGTGCCCAGACACCTGGGACATGCAGCCTCAGCACATGCTCCCCTTACCTGGGCTTTTTAATTAATTCATCCTCACCATCCTCCACTGAGTGCAGCAGGAGAGAAAGGGGGAGATGGAGTCAGTCTGCAGTGACTGATGCCCAGGAAAAGCAGAAAAGGAAAGGAGGAAAACCAACCTCCCATTCACCATCCCCTCACCCCATTGCACATCCCTGCTTGGCAATGGGGCAGAGCACAGCCCCAGACCAGCAGCACCACCAGGAGCCCACACACAGCCCTGGGCAGCTCCCATGGCTCACCTGCCCTCAGGGAGTTACTTGGAGTTACAAAACCCAAACTCCCAGGTGCTACATCACCCCACTGCCTCTCCCAACTTCTGGTTACCCCAAAACAGTCTGGATCCCCAGCCAGCACCAGGCCCTGAGGGAACTCACTGCCATCTGTGCCCGTCAGCTGGGCCAGTCTGCGGAAGGAGCGGGACTGCGAGGTCCCGGTGCGGGGCTGCCAGCCCTCAGCATCCTCCAACATCCGCAACTTCCCAGGATCACACCCGGGGGTACTGGGGGACTCCAGAGGCTGCTGGGGCTGCCTGTGAGTGACAGAGGGCAGGAACTCAGCCAGAAAAAAGCACAGGCCCTGCCCAACACTGCAGCACAGGGCAGTGCTTCCAAAGGTGACCTGGCACATGCCAACACCTCGGCCAGATCCTGGCACTCACCGCTGCTCCACTGTGCCCCAGCTGGACCCATGGGAATCCCTGTGACATGGGAAAAAACAGCAGCACAACAGTCACTGTTTGACCATCCCTGCCATATGCACCCACAGCCCCATGGAGGCACAAGCCACGTGGAAATACTGACCAGCAGCCTTGCAGCTGCTCCACGGCCAAACGGGACGCAAAACACCAAGGCCAGTTGCTTCCCAGCACCTCCCAACATCTCCAGCAAGGTGTTGTGACTGTCACCAGCCACCCCTACCCAGGTGGGTGCTTGGGGCAGGACGCTCCTGAAGTGACAGAGCAGTGGCTGAGTGCTGGATGTGCTCGTTGTGCAGCTCCAAAAGCACCTCAAGTCAGGGAGAGGGGACAGAGAGGGAGGGAAGAACCCCCAGCAGTGCAAAGAGCACCCCCAGAGTGACTACAAGCAGCAAAGGTGAAGTGGCTGTGCGGGCTGAGCCTGACATGGGCACCTTGTGGTTCCTGCTGATGCCCCTTACCTGGGCTTTTTAACAGGCTCTTCCTCACCATCATCCACTGAGCACACCAGAAGAGAAAGAGGGAGATGGAGTCAGTCTGTGGCAACTGAGGCCCAAGCACAGCAAGAAGGAAAGGGAAGGGAAAGGAAGGAAAAATGCCCTCTCCTCCCACTGCACCCCTGCCCCAACACACAGGGCAGAGCAGGGCTCCAGCCCAGCAGCACCACCACGAGTCCACACAGCCCTGAGCAGCTCCCGCTGGTTCAGCTGCCACAAAGGGCCCAAATGGGGTCAAAACCAATGCCCTGATGTAACAACACACCATGGCCTCTATCCAGTTGCCCCAGCAAAGCTGGGCACACCTGGGCAGTCAGCCAGTGCCAGGCCCTGCGGGAACTCACTGCTGCTTGCGCCCACCAGCCGGGCCAGTTTGCGGAAGGAACGGGACTGGGACGTCCAGGTGTGGGGTTTTGAGTCGTCAATGTCCTCTAACATCCGCAGCTTCACGGGGTCACACACAGTGTCACTGGGGAGCTCCAGCAGCTGTGGGGGCTGCCTGTGAGTGACAGAGGGCAGGAGCTCAGCACCAGGACTGGACCTTGCTCTGGAACAGGGCAGCACCCCTAAAGATGCCCTGGCATATGCCAACACTTCTGCCCGAGTCTGGCACTCACCGATGTTGCCCCGTGCCCCAGTTGGACCCATGGGCATCCCTGTGATATCAGAAAGAATGGTGGCACAACAATGTCTGACCAGCCCATCTCTCCCCATATGCATCCACAGTCCCAGAGACACAAGAGCCTTGTGGAAATGCTGACAGCACTCACTCCTGATCAGCCCTGCAGCCATTCCATGGCCCCACATGACATTGTGCCCCAGGTCTGGTTTAGTTCCCTACCCTGCAACTCCCGACACCCCCAGCAAGGTGCTGTCAGTGCAAGCAGCCACCCCTGCCCACTGCATCCAGCACATCTTGGCCTCCCCAGCTTGGTGCCAGCAGTGCCCAGCGGGTCCTGCCTGAGCACCCTGCATGAGGACACCTCATCTGGGGACAGCCTGCCTGGCTAGTGGGTGTCTGGGCAGGACCCTCCTGAGGTGACCGTCAGAGCAGCAGCTGAGCACTGGCAGTGCCTGTTGTGGGGTGAGCACAGGGCAGAGCCTGTGGCTCTGCCAAAAGCTTGGCTCTAGGAAGAGGAAAAGGACAGGACAGAGGGTAGAGGATAAGGAGAAGAGAAAAAACAGCAACAGGGCAAGAGCTTCCCCTGAGTGACTGCAAGCAGTGACAGAGAACAAGCCTAGTGGGCTGAGCCCAGGGTGGGCACCCTGTGGCTCCTGCTGCTGCCCTGGCACACGCTTCCCTTACCTGGGCTTTTTAATTAATTCATCCTCACCATCCTCCACTGAGTGCAGCAGGAAAGAAAGGAAGAGATGGAGTCAGTCTGCAGCAACTAAGGTCCAGGAAAAGCAGAAAAGGAAAGGAGGAAAACCAGCCTCTCCACTCACCATCCCCTCACCCCATTGCACATCCCTGCTTGGCAATGGGGCAGAGCACAGCCCCAGACCAGCAGCACCACCAGGAGCCCACACACAGCCCTGGGCAGCTCCCATGGCTCACCTGCCCTCAGGGAGTTACTTGGAGTTACAAAACCCAAACTCCCAGGTGCTACATCACCCCACTGCCTCTCCCAACTTCTGGTTACCCCAAAACAGTCTGGATCCCCAGCCAGCACCAGGCCCTGAGGGAACTCACTGCCATCTGTGCCCGTCAGCTGGGCCAGTCTGCGGAAGGAGCGGGACTGCGAGGTCCCGGTGCGGGGCTGCCAGCCCTCAGCATCCTCCAACATCCGCAACTTCCCAGGATCACACCCGGGGGTACTGGGGGACTCCAGAGGCTGCTGGGGCTGCCTGTGAGTGACAGAGGGCAGGAACTTCAGCCAGCACCAAGCACAGACCCTGCTTCAGCACAGGGCAGTGCTGCCAAAGGCGCCCTCACCAGATCCTGGCACTCACCACGGCTCCACTGTGCCCCAGCTGGACCCATGGGAATCCCTGTGATATTGGAAAGAACAGTAGCACAACACTCAGTATCTGACCACAGCACAGCCCATCCCTCAGAAATACACTCCAGAACTAGGAGAAGTCAAAGACACTCACCCAGCTCTGCCCCGCCATCCTGCTGCCCCACGACAGGCTCACAGCACATTGTCCATTTGCTGCCTAGCACCTCCCAATACCCCCAGCAAGGTGTTGTCAGTGCACCAGCCTTCTCATCCCTTTTCCTCAAGAAGCAATGGCAGAGCTTGGCCTCCCCAGCTTGTGCCAGCAGTGCCCAGCAGGTTCTACCCAGCACTGGACATTTTGTCTGGCCAGTGGGTGTCCTGGCAGGACTCTCCCAAGGTGATGGCCAGAGCAGTGGCTGAGCTCTGGCCATGCCCACTGTGGGGTGAGTGCAGGGTGAGCTCTGCACCTCCACCAACAGCTCAACTCTTGGAGAGGGAGAGAAAAAACAGCAGCAGAGCAAAGAGCTTCCCCTGAGTGACTGCAAGCAGCAAGAGAGAACCAGGCATGTGGGCTGAGCCTGGGGTGGGCACCTTGTGGCTCCTGCTGCTGCTCCAGCACATGCCCCCCTTACCTGGGCTTTTTAATAAGCTCTTCCTCACCATCCTCCACTGAATGCAGCAGGAGAGAAAGGGGGAGATGGAGTCAGTCTGCAGCAACTGAGGCTCAGAGACAGCGGAAAGGGAAAAGGAACAGGAAAGGGAAAAGGACCTCTCCTCCCAATGCCCACCTGCCCAAACACACAGCCCTGCCTGGCCATGGGGCAGAGCACAGTTCCAGCCCAGCAACACCACCACGAGCCCACACAGCCCCAGGCAGCTCTGCCTGGCTTTACTGCCCCGTAGGGCCAAAACCAACACTCCACGAGGCACCAAAGCCTTTATCCAGCTGCAGTTTCCCCAGCAAAGCTGGGCAGTCAGCCAGTGCCAGGCCCTGTGGGAACTCACTGCTGTCTGCGCCCACCAGCCGCGACAGTTTGCGGAAGGAACGGGACTGGGAGGTCCAGCTGTGGGGCTTTGAGTCGTCAATGTCCTCTAACATCCGCAGCTTCACAGGGTCACACACAGGGGTGCTGGGGGACTCCAGCAGCTGTGGGGGCTGCCTGTGAGTGACAGAGTCATCTGTCAAATCTGACAGATCTCCTGAGGCTGTCCCCCACCTTCCTCAGCACAGAATCACAGCACACCAGTTCCAGAGATGCCACACCTTGTCTTACTCCCCACCCCACAACTCCTCCCTCAAAAAGGCTGGGCCTGTGAAGGATTGACTCTGGAATGACCACCACCACTCCTGGCAATTTGAAACTGGCCCCAAGGGCCAGAAAGAGAAAGGACAGCGCAAGAATAAGCCAAGGTCAAAAAAACACCATCAGGGAAGCTGTACCACAGCTGTTTATGGCAGTGCCACCTGGCTCCGGGCACCGTGCCCAGCACAGCCCATCAGCCCTTGCCCAGCACAGCCACATCCTGGGGAATGGATCACACACAAGACACTCCAGGGCCCCAGCAGCTGGCAGAGACAGGCAGCTGTCCTCTCTACACTGGGGGCCAGGAGTGACCCACCCACATGGGCAGAGCAGCACCTGCTGCCCATCCCAGGCTGGCCCTGCCCCAGAGGACGGGGCACTGGCAGGGAAGAGGCATGCAGGGAGGATAGAGAGAGAAGGTAAAAGGCTTACTGACTTGTCAAGGTTCAGCACCTGTAGGGAGAGGGAAAGAGAAAGGGAGGAGAGAAAGAAAGAAAAAGGAAAGTGAAATTAGATCTGCAGCACCCAAGAAGTTTCCAGAGCTCACCCATGGCCTGCATTAGTCCCCCTATCCCTGAATCTCACACAAAACTCGCCCAGGGCTGAGAGCACACTGGGAGCACAGGGGCAGATGCCAGCAGACCAGACTGTGCTCCCTTGGCCTCCAGAACAGGCCTGGATGCCCAGGGCAGTCAATGCCACATCCCACCCCATTGCCCAGATCCTATGGCATCTCTGGCAGGAGGAGCAGGGACCAGCAGCTGCTGGACACATGCAGCAGAGCCAGGGGAGAACCATGGGTCAGGGCTGGAGGCCATCACTCTGCCCAGCCCCTTCCTGCAGCCAGGGGAACAGCAGGACTTCCCCAGGCAGGCACCAGCTGCTGGGCACAGACAGCCACCATTTCCCTGCCACTGCAGACGCCAGCCAGTGTCCTGCCACAGCCACTGTGTCAAGCCTGGCAGGAGTCCCCACAGGCTGACACGTCGCTGAGCACGGGACCGGCACAAGCGTGGCTGCGTGTCCCTGTGTGTGACACTTCTGCTGTGCCACCTCAGCACCAGCCACCAGTCGCTCCGGCACGGGCACTGTCACCCGCTCCCACCCAGGGTGCCTGGCATGCAAGGCGCAGCAGGGCTGGGCAGCAGGCTCCCCCCGATCCTCAGGGAGCAGGATGGACAGCAACATACCCGTTGTGCTGGGGGGTGCAGGCGGGCGCCAGGGGCGCGTACGTCACGGGTTTCGTCACCAGCCCGGGCCGTGGGTTCGGAGGTGAGCCGGCCCCGAAGGGCCGAGCTGTTTTGTTGAGGGCAGTGCTGGGAGCGAAGTTATATTTCAGGGGTTCAGAGCAGGGGAGTGAGTCCTGAGCGAGACAAAACACACAGACACGGGCTCACACGTCAAGCAGCATGCAAGGGGCAGCCCTGGGCCAGGCAGCGCAGCAGGCAGCCAGGTAGGAAAGCTGGACAGCACGTGCACCTTGGAGACCAGGCTCTGCCAGGCCGGCACTCACTCCACTGGGCACCTGGCCCAGCGATAGCAGGTCACAAACCCAGGCTGAGGGTCATTTGAAGATTAGTAGGTGCCCCGGACACTCGCTGCTGCCCGTGGCAGGGCGGTGCATGCACACACGCCGACTGCAACCATCCCGTGGCACAAAGCTCAATACATGCAGGTGGCTTCAGGAGCCACCCGTCACCAGCCCCAGCCCTGCCTCCCTGTGCCAGGGCACTCCCCAGCACTAGCAAACACGGTGCTGCACCTGCCCGGCCTCCTCCCCTGTGCTGGCCCCTCTGCATCTCTGCCCACACCCAGCACCAGCAGGGGCACAGGCAGTCTGGGCCCAGGCACCTACAGGGCAGATCCCACTCCCTCTGATCCTCCACAGTGCCAGAGGTCAAAGCTGCTCCTCCAGCTGGGTTTTCTAGACCTCCAAACACACCCCAGCCCCCTAAGAGCCCCAGGAGCAAAGTCCATTTGTTTGACTACACGGAGATTCCCTTTCCCTGAGATGAGGCTGAGCTGCCACTGTGGCACCAGGAGCAACACGTACCTTCTGTGGCTTCCCCAGCTGGTTCTGGGCTCTGCAAGAGAGGAGACAGATGGGCAGGTACTGGAGTTGGTCCAGACACCACCAGCATACTGGTACCCCAGGGATGCAGCACCCAACCAAGGGGAAACATGGCCAGCTGGCACTGCCCTGTGGCTGCAGTCAGGTTGAGCCTTATCCAGGCAAGCAGAGCTCTTGGACACAGCCAGGGACTTCTGGCTCTAAGTAAGGAGCATTGATGCTGGGAGATGGTGATGCCAGGAGGTGGCACTGGGCAGAGGGCCCTGATTACACTCCAGTTATATCAGAACCCCAAGTTTCAGGGACCCATGATTCCTACCTGCTCAAGGTGAGGCAAAGCCTGTCCCCACAGGCACGGATCCTGTTCTGGGCCTCGATGTGTGTCATGGCACTGGTGCTCTCCCCATCGATGTACAGCACCCAGTCACCCACTCCCACGCCGGCCTGGGCTGCCTTCCCACCCAGAGTCAGCTGCAGGACAGACAGAGTTAGCGAGAGCAGGAACAGCCAAGCAGTGACAAGGGAGCAGAGGGACATCCTCATGAGGGCAGGGGCCTGCCAAGGCTCAGGATCCCCAGCACAGGACACCACACAGACCTGACCCAGGGGGTAAGTGGGGATCCCCAGATTACTCCCCATTTCCCAGTGCACGAGTCCAGAGCAGCCTCTTCCCTTTGGCAGCAGCAGAAGTCAAAGCACTTCTCTGGGGCGCTGCCCAGCCCCTGCCCTCTGGCATGGCTGGGGACCCTGCCAGCACCCCAGGGCCTCATCGCCGTGACGCCAAACACAGAGGCAGTGCTGCCTCAGCCTCGAGAAGAAGCCCAGCCATCCCTTGGAGTCACCCCTGTGGTCCCGGGGCAGGAAGGGAGCACAGTGAGTCAGGGCCCGTTGGGCAGCCCACATCTCACTGCAAACCACAGGCATGTCCAGCCCTTCGCCTGGGGCGGGGAAGGACAGGGGAGGCACCCCTTGGGCACTCCCCCCAGCCGCCCGCGCTCCTGTCCCGTTCCCACCAGGCACAGACATTACCTCATTCCCACAGAGGAGCAGGAGCCCTCCCGGGGCAGGGAGACACCCGCCCCCACCCACGTTGCCCCGCTGGGACAGCCGGGAGCACAGCCACAAGTTCCCCTTCCCGGCCACAGTGCCAGGGATGCGCCTTGCCCCTGCCATGGCTCAGTGGCACGGTGTACGTCAACCCCATGCTGGGAAGCAGATGCTGCCCTCCCTTCCCACCAGGGATGCACAGCCAGAGGCGAGCAGAGCCCGCAGCACCGCACACAGCTCCCAGGCACTGACAGACAGACAGACGTGGGCAGGCTGCAGCCATTCCTGCTCCTCCAGCATGGAAGAACTCGAGGCGCTTGGACCCAGACCAAGTATTTCCTCAAGTCCTGTTCGACATGAACATAAAAGGAGCGAGCCAGATTCCCAGCACTGTCAGAGGGCTGAAAAATCCCTGCCACAGAGTCCCAGCCCCTCCTTGCAGAACTCGGCTCACCCTGGGAGCCACACATCCCTTCTCTAGGCCAGCACCACCCTCCATGCAAGGTCAAACACCACATATGGGCTGGATGTGGCCCAGTTCCACCTGCATCCCACTGCTATTCCCAGCAGGACATGGGTACCCCCACCACATACCCCCACACTGGCCTCCCATTCCTCCTGTCTGGCACGGGAGGGTGCCCAGCAGCAGGGATACCCCCAGCTCCTGGCCATGCTGCTGCAAGCCCTAGCTTGCTGCCCTGGAGGGCTGGGGAAGGCATGGGGCGGCTGCTTGGGTTTGGAGGCAGGAGCAGGAATTGGGAGAAGTTTTCACACGACTGCCCAGGAAGGGGAGAGCACGTCAGGCTGCGTCATGAAGCCTCACCCAGCCTGGTCAGCACTTCCCGTCCCCCTCAATGCCGACGTGCAGGAAACCCCTTTGACAGGTGCCAGCTCAGCCAGGAGCCATGGCAGTGCCAGCCCTCCTACTTCCCATCCAGACCTGCTAACCAGGGCTTCCTTCCTCCCCTCTCCACCCAGTCTTTTGTTCCCTGCACCTCCATCACCACTTCCAGAGAGGTGTTCACCTACTGCCCTGTCCAAGGGCTTCCAGGACAGAGACTCCCTCAGCACCTTCCTGCCACTAGCACCAAAGTGCCTCTCCTCTTTCCCAGCTGGCAGATGTGCCACACAGCATCCAGCTATCTGGAGTTCAGTCCTTCTCCCAGCTCCAGCACAGGGACCATGGTTTACAGCCTGCCTAGCCAGGATGTCAGCACCCTAGCAAAGCCCCGTGCCACAGGAGGCGCATGGCAGAGGGCCATGGTGGCATCTCTTTTGTGTGATCAGTGAGCTGAAACAGCCTTACTGCTCACCCAGGGGTGCCACAGCGATGGACACAGCTGAAAGTCAAACCAATCAACACACCAGCGTTGCCCTGTGCTGCCCAGCCCTGCAGTCTTGCAGAGCAGGGCCCCACTGCAGCCCACAAAGCTGGGGCAGGAGACTTTCTTCCAGCCCTCTGCAGCAGGGCCAGCTCACGGGAAGCAGTGGCCAAGGACAGCAGCATGCTCTGGGTCTGGGGATGCCTCTGGAGTGCAGAGCAGAACAGGCTCACACCTTCCCATCGGAGCACACTGCCCTGCCATGCAGCCCAGCATCACCAGAGAGCCCCCAAAGCTGCTGCATCCCCTGGGAATGTCCTCACTGTTCCTGCCCTGCCCAGGACGGCAGCACTGCCCGAGCCTCACCAAGCACTGCTTCACGAGGCCCCTGCCCCAGGCTCTGGGAGGCTCCTCCATGCGACCAGACCCTTTGTTAAGAACTGGCTCGCAGCCAAGAGAAACATTTTTTAGAGAATAAACTCGCTGAAGCCGTCTCTGCGTGCTCAGCAGAGATCAGCAGGCCCCGGGGCAGCGGCACTGGCGACTCCAGCCTCACACAGTGCCCTCAGGGGCCATGCTCCACACTGGGACAGAGATCTGTGCCCTCTGGGACAGGTGTGCAGTGCCCTGCTCGTGCCAGGGGCAGGTCCCCATGCAGCACTTGATGCCACAAGCACAGCTGTCCTTTGAGAAGCAGCCTCCGTGCCAGCTGCCCAAGCGCCAGCGGCACAGGCGATGCAGTCACATTCCAAGGCTTATAAGGCAATTGCGTGGCCAAAGCTGTGGCCAGCACGGGGACCTGCACACACCCAGGGTCAGGCCCGGGAACATTACAACCAGAGAGGCTCAAACCAGCAGCCTTGGGCACAACCAGCTGTGGCACAATGGCTCTCACTGAAGAAACAGGAGAGTTTTGTGGAGGGAGACACATCCCTGTACAGGCAGCACAGCTTCCTCCTCTCCATGCCCATTTCAGGAGTGACCTGAGGCACAGAGCCGGGAGCTGTGCTGTAGAAAGGAGGGCAGAAGAGCACTGGCTAGGTCCTGGGATGCCAAGACCAGTGCTGGGATGCAGACCAGGAAGCCAGTCCCACATCTCAGAGAGCAGATCCCCTCCCGCTGTGGTGGGCACAGTCCGGAAGGGGCCTCCCCTGCCCCCCTCCGCAGAGGCTGTGCAGAATTTCACGTTTCTGCTTACAGCTCTCTGCCCGGAACACCCCCGTGCTGGGCTGCAGCTGATAAGGGACCAAGAAGCCTATGTAGAGCCAGGCAGGGCAGGATGCAGCATTCCCGGGGCCCCAGCTCATCTACATCCCCCATACTGCTCTGCCTCAGCCACTGCGGCCTCCCTCCCACAGAGGCAGGAGGAAGGATGGGTGTCACCAGCTTTGGTTTCTCTTACCCTGGAGATGGAGAGTGGCATGCTGAAATCCTTCCCTCCCTGCAGCCTGAAGCCCCAGGGTGCCGGCCCATTCAGCATCACCTTGTAGGACTCCATGTCACCCATCTCTGCAAGGGAAGAGGGTGTGATCCCGGTATTAGAGTACATGGAAATAATGCAGGGAGAGCAGGCAAGGAGAGGGATCAGTGCCTGGCAGGGTAGGACAGGAGGCAGGTCACGTTTCCAGCTGTAACTCCACCCTGACCATCCTACACTGTGGTTAGAGACGCACCCCAAATCCATCAGCATCTTCTCCAGCGACGTCAGAGCTGAGGGGCCCAGGCTAACACTGACTAGTGCCAGGGAGCCAGGCACAGCCCCGCTGCCACCCACAGTGGAGTGTTTGTGGGCTCTGATTTCCCAAACCTGGGATGTGCTCTCCCTTGCAGCACCCCAGGAATTCCTGCTGCTGAGAGCCAAGGCTGTTCAGACTACAGAGAAGCAACAGCAGGTACAGAAGGATGGGAACCAGAAGCATTTCTGCCGGATGAATTATCAGCAGCAGCACAGGAGCTGCGTGATACCACCCGAGGCGCCTGGCAGAGCAGCCAGGCTGGCGCTCCGGCAGCCGGCCGAGCAGATGCTCCCCGGGATCGAGCCCATCTCCGGCGCTTTGGCAGGAGGGAATCCCGGCGCTCCCCTGCCTGACAGCTGTCAGCCGGCCAAGGCTCCGGACAGATGGGCCAGCACCAGCCTCTTGCCACCCTTTACCTGGAAGAAGCCGCTATACCCCCACGAACGGCCCCAGGACCTCCCTCCCGAGGGCGGACAGGGCCGGCTGCGGGGCTCCGCACGCCTCGCACGGGCCGGCTGCAGGGCCGGGGGCCAGCGTGGCCCCGCTCTCCCCGGGCCGGTGCGGGCTATATAAGGCGTGTAAGACGACACCAGCCCGCTCCCCGCTCGGGAGGGCCGGGGGAAGAGCTGCGTGTCAGGCATTCCCGGCGCCCGGGAGCCGCGCAAGCCCCAGCGAGGCGCCGGGACGGGGCGGCCCGGAGCGGGCGGATACCCCCCACCCCTCCCCGGCGGGACGGCGCCCGACTGCACCGGGGGTCCCCACCGTGCACAGGAAGGGCAGCCTTTCTTATTGCTGGGAAACCCCACCCTGACCCGCGGGGGGCCCCGGGACCCCTCCCCATCCCACACCGCCGCCCCTCCCGGGGGTCGGGGACGCCGGCTCTGCCCCACATGGGCCCGACCCTGACCACCCGCCTTCCCCTCAAGCCAGGCCTCAGCTCTCCGCCCCTCACGCCCCCAACCCCTCCGGCAGAGAACGGAGCCCCCCTCCACGGCCCGGCTCCCCGGACTCACTCGCAGCCAGCGGGGCCCGGCGAAGCGGGCGGGAGCGGTGCGGTGCGGCACACACCGACGCGGGACTCGAACCCGGGCACCGCCCCCGCCCGGCCCGGCCGCACCACATATAGGATCGGGAGGGGGTGGAGCCAGAGGGCGCTTCGGCCAATCACCGTGCGCGGCTCTGCCGGCCGGGGCGGGCACGGCGGCGCCCCCTAGCGGGCAGGCCCGAGCTGCCCCCGCCGGCCCCCCCCACCCCCCGCAGCAGCGGCGGAGCCGAGTCCGGGAAGGGCCTTTATTAACCGAGCGGCACCGACGGGCACCGGCCACATCAAGCCCAGTCCCGCGCTCCGGGGCTCTCCCGGCTCAGCAGCCGCACCAGCTTGGCCCGAAGGGTGCTGTGAGGCTTGTGCCCGGAGCGCCCTGACAGCGCCTCCTGCCCTCCGCGCCCCCAGCCCGCGGCCCGGGTGTTCTGTGCCACGGCGGCCCGGTTGTCATAAATGGGCCCCCCCTCACTGCTGTGGCCCTCAGGGGCCTGTCGGCACCCCAGCTCCCACTGCCCTTCCTCCTCCTCTTCCTGGGCCCCGGTTGGATGTGGGTCTGCAGTGAAGATGTTCTCGTAGAGATGCTCAGGGAGTGGCTTCCCCACGGCCCAGGGCTCACCAGAGCCTGGCTGCCCTGGTACAAAGAGGGGCTGCTGGCCCCGGGCGATGGAGGCATAGACGATGGGGCACGAGCCCTCTGGCTCTGGTGGGGTGAATTGGAGGAGGTTGTTAGGAGGGTGGGAGGCAGGCTGTGTCCCCACCAGGGGTAGGCTGGGCTGTGGATCATCGTTCCCAGGCCCCCAGGCCTGGGGCTCAAAGCCCTGTACAAAGAGCTGGGGGTCTGAGACACAGAAGAGTCTGGGGTCTGGGGTGTCCTTGCCCTGCTGCTGGCAGGCAATGGCAGCAGCCACAGCCCGGCAGAGCTCAGGGGCCCGTGGGGTGCTGAAGGTGAAGGTGCCCTCGCCGGAGTCACTGCGGCGGCCAGCCTCAAAGGAGAAGACAGTCTGCAGGGTCAGAGCAGAGGATGAGAGGTTGCCACCCACCCTCAGCAGGCAACAGCCCCAAGAAGGAAGAGGGGGACTCACCTGATCCTGGCCAAACTTGCGAAGGAAGGGGTAGGGCCAGGTGAAGAGGGGCTGGTGGGACTGGGGGTCCTTCAACGTCAGGCTCTGGGGAAGGGCTGAGAGCAGGTAGTGCCCGTGCAGCCCACAGCGGGTGGCTGCGTCTGTCTGGACCACCAGCACCAAGAATTCAGTCACTGCGGGAGCCAAACAAGCCAGGGGTCAGCACTGCAGCACTGAGTTACAGCCCACTCCAGCCCTATTCACCACCCCTGCACGTACGGTCCTGCCAGGACGAGTAGAGGGAGTTCTCCTCCATGGGGACAGCAGGGCCGGGCTGCGTCCTGGCACTACTCGGCCCTGTCTGTTTTGCACCCTGAAACAAAGGGGTGTGAGTATGACCTGGGATGGGAGGGAGAGCACAAATCCCTTGCCTGCCCTGGAGCTTCCCAGCTCACCCAAGCAGGTCTCTTAGTACCTGGAAGGCCAGCTGGCAGAGCTGGGTGATCCATTCATCGCGCTGCTCAGCTGCCAGCACATAGCTCTTCTCCGTGGTGGTGAGGTAGAAGGCGGCGGTGGCTTTGGGGCAGCTCTCTGTGCCCACCGGGCCCACAGAGACACAGTCAGAGAGGCGGATCACCCGGCGGGCACACCGCTGCAGAGACATCTTCTCTGGGATCGTGCCATCATCCCGCACGTCAAACTTCTCCATGCGGGCCACGCCGGACGGGCTGGCGGCAAACAGCTGGGCTCGCATCTTCCTCCAGGATCTCTAATGCACGGAAAGGGCAAAGACGGAAAAACTGGTCAGGAAAGAGCTGGCCGCTGCATCTGGCAGCACTGCCCTCCACACAGGGCCAGCAGTGTTTGGGAAGAGCCATATGGGGCACGAGGGACATAGGGGAGTCCCAGCCTGCACCCACCAGATGATGTTGGAGGGCACAGAGAACAGGGGCCAGCACAGACCCCTGAACTGTGGGGCAGGGCAGGCCCAAAGCTGGGCTGAGGTGGGCCTTGCCCCGAGCGGGCTTGGCATGGCTCACTGGGTGAGTCACACTCACTCCTGGCTCCCTGAGCACCAGGTCCTGCTCTTTGTTCCCTGTTGCAAGTGCTGGCCTGCCGACCTGCAGCTGAGCTCCCAAGCTGTTCTCAGGACAGACCCTGATGCAAATTAAAGCCATTTTGAGCTGCTCAGGCTCCTGCTGGCAGCCTCACATCTGCTGAGCAGCCCGCTTCCTCCCAAGGGAGAGTGCAGCACCAGCACCGTCCCAGTCTGTCATGGGATAGCGGGGGCGCCTGCCACCACATACCTCAAAAGTGCAGCGGAGCCTCCACCCTGCAGGAACCAGATGCAGCCAAGCACCCAAAATACCCACCGCCCCCAGCCCACCTGCCTCCTCCATGGCAGGGCACCAGCCCCTCACACACAGGGATGCCTGCTGTGCTTTCAGGGCTTGGTTTTTGTTCGGCAGGGAGATCAGTGTGATTGCAGCCCCACACATCCATTGAGACCCCCACAGGACATGGTCACCTTGCCACGGCACGGCCAGTGTGCCAACAGCTCCCTGGAGCTGGCCTGACCCCAGGTACTCTCACCATGTCACCCATACCCTGCCCTGAGGGCTGCAGCAGCCAGTGCCCCCTCCAAGGGCACAGGCCATGAGGGTGTTGCCGGATGGTGCTGGCCCCCCCAGGGCTAGGCCAGTGGAGGCCACATGGATGTGTCCCACGTGCTGCCCCACGAGCCCGCTCCCACACACACACACACGCTGGAGCTGCGCCACATTAATGCATGTTTATTCTTCCATTGCGACTCACGCGGTGACCAAGCAAGAAGGACCCAACACATGGGCGAGCCAGAGTGGATGCCCACACAGATGAGTCCCCTCAGCCACAAGGGAAAGCCAAACTTACAGGGCCGCTGAGTCCAGGGCTCCCCCAAGGGCAGCTCCTTGGCTCCAGTTGCCCCTTCCCAGATTGCTGAGGGCCCAGCCCCAGGCCTGGCATCATGTCAAACCAGGGCAAACCCTCCACCAACCCCAAACCCTTTACCTTTCCAAACTTGGTGTGCTGCACATAGAGGATCCCATCTTTCACTGGTCTCTCCATGGGCCCAGTTCACCCTGGCAGCCAGTGCAAGGATAAGGGACTCGGGCTACCCGCAGCAGAGAAAATGTGACTGATGCAGTCGAAGGAAAGGCATGGGGCAGACTTCCTTCTCAGAGAGACTTCCCCTTTTTGGGGTGTGGGATGGGAGGCAGAGGCTGGGCCATAGGAGGTGTCCATGTGCCCGCCCTCCCCCTCACAGCAGGGCAGTGGGGCAGAACGTGGGGGCAGAGCACAGGAAGCACCTTGAGGAGCGCCTGACATGACCATGGCACGCTCCACATCACCCTGGCAGCATCCTCCCAGCATGTCTGGGGAGACAGGAACAGCCACCCACTGAGAATGCACAAATCCAGGTGAGGGACATGGACCCAGAGAAACTGGGTGGATTTGTGTGGAGCAACAGAAGACCCTGACCTCACCCCTGCAGGGGGCTGGCAGGGGCAGCAGGCAGCTGGCCAGACCAGTTGCCCCACCTGGGGCTTTCTCTTGCCCTGAGGAACTGCTACCTGCTTGCCCAACACACCACTGATGTAACGGGCTGTTGCAGCACAGCTCCATACACTTCCTTCTGGGGCAGGAGCTTCGTTAGGCTGAGATGGCAACAGTCCCAGTGACCAAAATTCTGGAAAAGGGGCCACAGCAGTCCAAGACAGGTCCCTGGGCTGAAAGGGAACCCAGGCCCATCCAGAGGCAGTACACTTTCCAGGCTAGAAGTCCATAGAGCTGTGGGCCAGGTAGTCCTTGCGGCCGATGTTGCTGACTTGCTTGGTCTGCATCGCCTCCAGCTTGGGGCAGTCGGTGATGCGATGGCCCAGGCCACCACAGAAGGCACAGCCCCGCTCACCTGCAATGGGAGGGATGGGGTCAAGGCCAGGACAGCACACTGCCATGCCAGGACAGCAGCCCACACCCCAGAGCAAAGGGGCTACAGCAGTGTCTCCCCAGTGCTGTGGCACTGGGAGCTGGAGGGTCCTGTCTGGAGCCCAGGTTTCACAGCAGCCCCGCAGGGGTCCCTGTGTCAGCCTGGGGTCTCTCACCTCCGATGTCCAGCATGGTCTCATCTCCACAGTGCAGCACCTGGAGCACAGGTGGCACCTTCTGCTTTGCCTCCAGGAGCAGAGCCTTCAGGTCCATCAGCACCGATTCATCTGGGGGCAGAGACATAGGTCAGGCAAAGACATTCTGCTTGCTCAGAACATCCCCTTGCCACTGCCCAGCTGCCTCCTCCAGCCCCCAGCCCCATGCTGCTCCTTACCACAGGCCTTGTTGATGAAGGTGGTGGCAATGCCAGTGTTGCCTGAACGGCCTGTACGCCCGATGCGGTGAACTGTGGAGACAGGGACAGGATCAGCCCTGGGCGAGCACAGTGTGACACACCATCCCTGCCCCAAGACACTGCAGAGACAGGCACAGAGCCTTGCTGGCCTCCAGAGCCCTCCTACAAGGCCCAGTGCCTACCATAGTTCTCAATCTCCTCTGGCATGTCGTAGTTGATGACATGCTGGATTGCTGGGAAGTCCAGGCCCTTGGAAGCGACATCAGTGGCAACCAGGACATCCTTCTTCCCATCCCGGAAGGCCTCAATGGCTTTTGTCCGTTCTTCCTGATCTGCAAAGGCCCAGCAGAGATCAGTGAGGGCAGAGTTCCCAGCCTTACCTACTGCACCAAACACTATGGCCTCAGAGTCAAGCATCACCCCTCAGGCAGCCTTGAGCCAACGAGGGAGCAGAGGGGCCTCCACGTCCCATAGGGACCTGCACTGTGTTTATGCCTGCTATGTACAACATGGAGCTCACTCCTGACACTGCCACAGCCTTTCCTCACACCATCAACAGCTGCTCCAGGCTGGCACATTCCATGGTCACACACATCCC